ATTCACTATTTTTCGTGGTCCGCTTGACCAATTAATAACATTCAATTAATTAAGGTTTTAAGTTGAGATAAAAAAGTCAGTGTCACGAGCGGGATTCGAACCCACGACCTTCGACTTGATACGCCGTTACTCTACCACTTGAGCTATCGTGACTTCGATCCCCTCGGGCACTAACTTCCCATCTCAGCCCCACCTTTTGAATTTTCTCTCCTTTTTGCCATTTTTCAAATGTCGTGTAATCGGATTGGATTTTCGGGGGCAAATGAAATGGCCACGGAGAGCTTTAGTGAAGTACACTTCATTTTAAATCATTAAATTCACTAATTTCGTGGTCCGCTTGACCAATTAATATATTACAATTAATTAAGGTTTTTAGTTGAGATAATAAAGTCAATGGCACGAGCNTATATATATATATATATTCAGTCTAAGAAATTCTGAGAAACTTCACCCTATATCTTTAGAATCAGTAAGAGATGACTTGTTCCCGTGAATGTGTTGACGGTACATTTTCTTCATATTTAAATAAGACCTCGTCAAGGTGGATAATTTATTGGTTAGAGTTATGAACTATTTTAACAATGATTTTTTCCATTTTATTGTCCACAAATATATCAAGACCCCTTCCTTTTTCAGATGCTGATCCTTTCAAAATATACTAAGTTTTGCAGGTGATAAATATTCGTTGACGTACGCTTGACTGTTTGTAAAAATACAATTTTCCTTTTTTAGGTGGATACTATTCATAAAAATTTTTAGGGTGGAAAAATTTAAAAAAATCGGTGCACTAAACGTGGATGAAAATTTTGACACATATCTTCCATAAACTAAATTTGTTTTTGGAAGCTGGAGGTTGCTTAAGTACGACTCGGCTTAATAAACAGAAGTCCGGTGTCAGTTGCTCATGTGATAATGACGGCGTTGGGATGTATAAGAAAGTCACAACTGTAAATCGTATACACAATGGGGCCAAGAATGTTTCCTTGTCGGACGCCGGCTTGAATTGCTCTGATTATAAGTATTAGTAGGAAGCGTTTTAGTTTTTAAAGGATCCCTGAGTGCAAGAACGTATCAAAACCGTGGCCTCATCTGAGAACGTACACAAGCAATACTCATTGCTCTCAAGAACGGAGGAAATGGTAGCTAAATCGTGGCGTAATGGGAACGAAAGCCGAATGGTGAAAAGCAATGATTCTATTTGAATCTAGAATAGATATTAAACGTTTTAAAAGCCCTGTAGGAAGAAATGTAATTAATTAAGAATTTCAATAAGCCTTATTTTCAAGACGAAGTTCGAAGCTCTGACGTTAAATGACGATTTTTTTCTACGTGAACACTGTATTGGTGCAATTCATTATACACTGACGGGAAAAAATTCCACCCACGTGTAATATAACTAGATTGGCATTATTTTTATATATTAATCAGTTTCACGTTAATAATTGAGACTTTGTCTGAAATATTTAAAAAAAATGTAAATTGCTAAGGAAAAAAAGACGGACAGATAAAATTTGTTTAAATTTTGTTTTAGAATTTTTATTAACATTTCAATATCGCGTATTTCCTCCTCTTGCCTTAATTACACCTCGAAGACTCCTCGGCATCCATTCTACCTGTCTGAAGGGTGGCCCATTCTTCAGTAAGAATCCTTTAAAGATCATGGAGTGTATCAGGAAGTGATGAACGTGGCCTTTTGAGGTTATCCCATAATGCTCGATGGGGTTCAAATTTGGAGAACGGACTGGTCAGGCTAAGACCCTGATGTTGTGCTGTAGAAGGTACGTTTGTATTATGCGAGCGACATGTGGACGGGCATTATCGTGCATTAGAATAGGATTGTCGCTGATTTCATCGACGATAGGCAACGCATGATGGTCGAAAATTTCATCCACATAGCGAGTGGCATTCGAAGACCCTCGACGAACATCAACCAACTTTGTACCACTCTGCATTGAAATTCCCGCCCACGCCATCAGTGAGCTACGTTGAAAAGGTTGGCTCTGGGAAAAATTAAAAGCTTCGTACCTTTCATTTCGCCTTCTCCACACTCTTTCACCCCCATGTGAGATCGTAGAGCAAATCTACACTCATCTGTAAAATGTACTCTCAGACCAATCGTCCAAATACCAATGGCTATGTTCTCGAGCAAAAGGGAGCCGTGCAACTCTGCGTTTTCTGGTCATTTCTGGCCCTCTTAAAGGGCGAAAAGCCATCAGTTCATACTGATTTAATCTTCTTCGAGCAGTGCGTTCATAAATTTGGAAACCTCGAACTTCCTGGAGCTGAGGAATCGCTTGAACAACAGTAAGGTGACGGTTTCGCAAAATTCTTAAAGTCAAAAACCGGTCATCTGTTAGCCTAGAGCGCCCAATAACCGCGCCTTCTATGGTAGGACAGTTTCTCGAAAACGTCTAACAGCGTCTCGCAGTGTTTTGTATGGACGTCCGATGGCAATAACCGCATAACTGATGGAACGTCCATCATCAGTAAGTGCCACACCACGCGCAACATCTTCAACGCTAAGTGGAATTTTAAATTGAAGTTTAAAAAAAAAAAAATTCAAATTAAGAAAACAAAGATGAAATCTAAACAGTTTATTGCTTCAAAATTCAAATGAGACTGAATAAACATTTTAAATACCGTAAAAAGTAAACATTGAAAAATGCTTTATTCTTGTTTTGGATTAAGGATTAAGTGTGTGTTTACCTTCAATATAAAACATAGCATAAACAAATATTTATTTATAAAAGGAATGAGACAAATTAAAGACAGAATTTTCGTTCTTTGAGAAAATGAAAAAAAATCAATTTGGTGGACATTTTTGCGTAATAGTGTATATATAAAAAGTCTATTTTTTATTTAGAAACATTTATAGCCCCCCCCCCCCAGGAAAACAATACTTTTTGAACCTTCTGCACAACTCACCAATGGAATGAATATGACTTCAAATTGCTTTATTTTCATTCTTATTCGCAAAAATAATTCAATTTCATCATAAGTGTGAAAAACAATTTGTTTTTAAATACACAAAGATCACTTTCAACAGTAAGATAAGTTTTAGGTTTTGAAAAAAGATAAAGATATACGAAACAATTAATTTTGATTTGTCTAAATTTTTCTTTAAATACCTCACGTTGAAGGGTCATAAATATAGCGTTGAGACCCATTTTTCCGGCAAATTATCTATCGAACCTAATCCAACAGTCGGCTCATAATCGACCATTAACGAAAAATCTCCGCTTTCCGATTCGAAAAACGATTCGTCCATTTATTGTGAAATCGTCCGGATCGTGCCATGACAATGCAAGCGACATAATACATTCTGTCGCAGAGCAGGGAAGGGCGTATTGTAGATAATTACAATAGGGAAACGCATTTGCCAGCACAGGAGGCCAATTCCAGCATACTCAGAGAGAGATATCCCATAATCTACATTTTATTGTTCGTTAATTTATCATTTGTAATTCCGGTAATTATAGTTTAATGTTACACTATCATGATGTCTCTCGAAACAATTGTCAAATTTACCAAGGTTAATAATATGTTCATTAGAAAAGAAGTAGTATATCAGAGTAGTTTGTCTATGTCAAAAATGCACGATACAAATTTAAAAATCTGCAGAAAAAAAAAACAATATTGAGGTGCCGCCCCAAAATTTAGTTTTGCATTGCGTTTGAAAAGTTGTACCTGTGATAAGGTATTAATTTGCGTGAGTGGCTAAATGTTACAATGTTAACACATTGTAAAACACCTAAACCGTTGCTGCTCCCGACGCCCCTTCGCACACGCATACTTAAATAAACCTAAGGTAAGTATAACCTAATTTGACAAATCTGGTCATCTGGGGTACTGGTAAATCAGCTACAGTACTATTTATTTGATTAGGGCCAGTGTGAGGGGACATATTTTATTTTGGAAAGTGCTACATGTACAATGAAGTCCATATTTTCATAATTAAAAATTAATGATTTTTTTTACGAGAGCTCGCAACAGCAGAAGTTATATCAACCCTCTGGGTGCCGGTGTTTTTGAAAAAAAAACCACATTTGTAAGTATGCCGAGTTCGAATGCAGGGCCGATGGATTCGAACGCAGGACGTTTACCCTACAGTGATGAGCGCCGTGTCAACGCCTAAACCGTTGCGGCTACCGACGCCGCTATTAATGAAATTAATTACAAATAAAATTGAAAATTATATATTAAAAAACCATAAAAATAAAGGATTATTTTTTTCGTTTAAATTTTACTTTAAGATTTTGTGGAGATCGTGAGATTGATTTTGGGTTTAGAAAAACATTTTCTTTATAGGGCCAACGTTTCGATCTTTATTGAGATCATCTTCAGGGCTCAAACAGTTTTTGTCTGTGTTGATGCGTCATTTTTGTGTGTCGTGTTAAGAGTGCCTTTTTATTTTAATTTAAAATAATTAGTGTCTTATATTAAAAAAAAACACGAAAATCAATCAAAATTAAAATTAGAAAAATATATAAAACTAAATATATTTTTTTTATATAATGGTTGAAAATCTCGTAATCAAACGGAAATATTTAGCTTTAAATAATAAACAAAGAGTAGCACAATTAATTTTTTCAATTACAGAAATTCTACTTTACGTATTTACATTATTTAAAAGATTTTTTAAAAGAGTCAGCATTATAATAAAAAGGATTAATTTGAAATATAAAAAAGATAATTTGGACGGAAAAAGATTACTTACAAATTAAAAAGGGCAAAATTTACGGGGGGAAACGGTTACTTTGATTAAAAAGCTATATTGCAGATTGTATTTCAACAAAAAATTGTATATATACATATATATATTTCTGCTTGAGTGTGTGTGGGGGGGGCCGCGCACGTGTCACAGTATTATAAATAATAGAAAAACTGATATACATACCGGGAATATTGTGTTAAACTTTATTAGTAAATGTCAATTTATCAGAGCAGTTAGAAACGAAACTGTTGAGTACTAAAAATTGAAATAATCAACTGGGACTCACCTCAGATGAAGTCAGATAGCACAGCCTCGAGTCTGTACTTTCAATTGACGCCTGCTGAACGATCCCATATCTTGAAGATTCCCTGTCGCTCATGTAATCAGATCTCAGACTGTCCTGGCGGTCGAAAACCCCTCTGAAACAACATTTATCAAAATGGAGAAATAGCTTTTTCCTCGAAAACATAAAAAATGCTGAATGCCACGTTTGTCAGAGAGTAAAAACGATCCCATTCGATTTGAGAAACGCCGCCTGAACTCCTGTTATCATTATACATGTTGAAACCCTCCGAAGAGGGAATACAACCGAATCCTACTTCCAACGACTAGCTAACGGCCAAACAATCATGCAAAGGTAGGGGTAACAAGTATCTTAAGACTGACCTCTGTTCGAACGAGTCAGCTCGATTGCTTTTGTAACCGGAATCGTTGAGAGACCCTTCGTGTCTCAAAGAGGGCAAAGAATCCCAAGGGGACCTTCTATGGCCACCGGTACCGCCACCACTTCCAGGGGCGCCGTTTCCCGAAGGCGGTAAAACGCCGGATGGACCGTAGCTTCCACAGCTTCCCAATGTCGAACTCCCGGACCTCCAACCGTCCGAATGCCTGAACCATTGAGCTCGAGCTGACTCGCCAAGGCAAGAGGCACAACGGCTGCAACAAACAAATAAACTAATGATCTTACATCATTTTAAATTTCCTCCAAGCCGGATCGAATTGAAAAACTCCTTCTAACAGTCTAACAGAAGAAATCATGCGAGGTTTCATAAAATGTTTAGATAAGAAAAAATATTTACGTGTCCACTATCTTATTTAGCCACCATTGAAGTTCTTTGTAAGACATTTATCGCCTTAAAATCACAGTTGAGACTGGTTTCACAAAATATTTCAAAAATCATTTCCATTTATGCAATCAAAGATAAAAATCGCTGACAATTCAAGCAGTTTCAAATGCAAATTCATATGCGAAAAATGGATGTTTCATGCAAAAGGACAAAAACGCAACTCACTCCTGATGTAAAAAATCATAGATATAGATAAAATATAGCTAAAAATAAATAAGAGAAAATGCATTTAGTTCGATTAATTATAATAAAATTTTCACTGATATTTAGAATCTTTCAACATTCTACCGTAAATTATTTGTAAAATGATTCATAAATTATTTAGACCAAATGAAAAAGCAATTATTTAACAATGCTTTCCTTGTTGTTGAATTATTAAATCGAGCAGAACTTTTGAATTAATTCAATCTAAAATTTTATATTTTACAGGTTAGTGCAAAATAAATTTTATTTTTCTCGTGTAGAAATGTGTGATGATCAGTGACCGTTAGTCGATGATTATTCGGAAATCGTTCACACTCAACACGACACGCAAGAATGGCACAATTACGCAGAAAACAAACACTTTGAGCCCTGAAGATGATCTCAATAACTATCGAAACGTTGGGACGATAAAGAAAATGTTTTTCTGAAACCTAGATCACACCAGACCGCATCTCACGATTTCCGACTAATAAATTTTATTCAAAAATCAATTGTTTCAAAACATTCCTGTCTGCAGACGAAAAAATGGTGTTTATGTGAAATATTCATATGACTAATATAAATTCATATGACTAAATATTCATATGACTAATATAAAAACTGTTTATAATACAATTAGCTCGTGAAACATGATTACTAAAGTGATTACTAAAGAGACTTTTCATTGGTTGGTCAGAGAGCTAAGAGCTTATCAAAAATCCAGCAGAAATGGTCAGCGATAAATAGAAATAAAGTGTTTATTTTCTGTGGTCGAATGAGCCCACAGGCTTTTGGCGAAATGTCGGGCTGAGTGAGAACTTTAGTAAGACGAGAGGATTGGGATGATTGGATGAGGATTTATGAAATTTTGTGTGCCTTGATCGGCATACCATCGGCAAACTCTTTGTACGGGCTTGTATTGGTAATTTTCCGGAGGGCTTTAACATTGGAAGGTACTGTAGGAATGGGAAAGCTTGAAAGCCTACCTTAATCCCGGACATTCGTAGAGATCCTTGAAGCTTTTCGGTTCAAGTTCAAGCTATAGAATGTTTTTTCTTTTTTTCGATCGTTTACGCCGAGCGTCTGGCAACAAGCTTAGTAAGATGTCTTCACTGTCTCTTTAGCAAATTTTAATTTACTTATATTTATTTATCGCCCCTGAATGCAATCCGCCGATATATAACCCTATATATAACCCTCGGGGTGTCGGTGTTTTTTAACAGAATTATTTTCCCCCTTCTCTCACTCTCTCTCGCTGTCTCTCTCTCTCTCTCTCTCTCTCTCTCTCTCTCTCTCTCTCTCTATCTATCTCAATCTCAATCTCCAATCTCAATATTGCTATCTCTCTTTCTCTCTTTCTGTCCTCTCTCTCTCTCTCTCTCTCTCTCTCTTTCTGTCCTCTCCCTCTCCCTCTCTCTCTCTCTCTCTCTCTTTCTCTGTTTGTCTCTCTCTTTCTCTCTCAATCTCCAATCTCAA